GGTTGGCATGTTCCAGATTCCTTTCATTTGGAAATGTTATCTTGTGAAACCCAGGAGCTGTGCCCTCTCTGTTGCAGTGTCTGCATTATGGAATAATGTCCCCCAATAAATCAAAATGATGCTCATCCTTCTGGCCTTTAGTTAGACATTTAACACTTGAATATTCCCCCAGACACGGGGACTGGAAGGTTAAATCAGCTCTGTTGGTGGATTTGTTGTTTGCATATGTATTGTTGTTGTTGTTGATGATGATGACGATCTCACAGTCAGCTAGGTGTTTAGACTACATTTGGCATTTTTACCCACCATTCCCAAGAATCTGATTGCCTCAGTAACCACAAAGACCACAATGCTGGTTTACGACATAATTTTTCAACTTTGATTTTCAGATCTTGATACTTCATAATCTTCTCAAATTCTTTTTCTTCTATTCTGCTATTCATTTTCGACTACTATTTCAACTATATATTCCTAGCAATTTTTCATTACTTAGTATATGGTATTTTTTGTCAGGCACTTGAGTGAATCATTTTGGTGACTTTGTTATGTTGTTGTTTATAATCAGTTTGTGCGATCTTCTTGCATGAGCTGAATATGATCAAGTATTTCTTCTGATTCTTTGCACAATCTGCACTTTGAATTTTTGTAGATGATTTTTCAATTATGGCCTTGATTACATCAGCTCCAATAGTTTGCTTTTAAGCCACCAAAGTCAATCTTTCAGTTTCATTTTTTAATGTGCCAGTTGGAAGTTTTCACCAGGTTTTATCCTTATAAATATTTACTTTCGCCTTGATCTTTTGTAGAAATTGACCATATAATGCTTTTCCTTGCCAATGTTTTGTGTTTCCATCGCATAATTTATGTTTTGTTTCCTGTACATTCAGTATATTTCAATTTTTAACTTTAATAATTAGCCAATGCATGCTTCTCTTCAATAGTTTGCTTGTCCTGAAGCAATCCTCTGCCTCTATTTCAGATATAATCTATAATATATCAATATCATATGGGGATATATAATGATGGTGTTTTCACTGTTCAATTTTGTCTATTGCAGTTTTCTCACTTTTATTAATATTATTATCATTGGTTTCTGTTGCATTATGGTTTTTTCATTTTATTTCTCTATATGCTACACAAAGTCACTGCTGTGAGGTGAGCAACCCTATAAATTAGTAAAATAAATACAAAAAATAAAATATTCCAGATTACACATGATATCAGGTAATATTTGATAATAGCTGACCACAGTAGCACTTAGTAGTAATAGCAGGAATATTTTCCAGCTGAAGCCTATTAGACGGATCTTTGAAAGATGTGATATTCAGCAATTAACACTTGATAGTACCTGTCAGCTGGCATGCAATAGAAATTAGTAAATTCTACAAGTATTTTATTAATTCATTGAGTCAATCAAAACATTTCCAAGGTTCAAATTGAACAGCATAAACATACTATTTGGCATGAATAATTCTACTGCAACTGCTAAAGAAGAATGTGTTAAATTAATTTAATTTACTTATTAGTTAAGATGCCTGAAGAGTCTGTGTTGTTTTGATTTTATCACAGCATATGTTTATGTAAAACCTCTGTATACATAGAGGTTTTTTATAGTGATGAAAAGATGAACATCCAATAATCTCAGCACTGCAAGAATACACTTACACATATTCCCAACAGCTGTCCTGGAAGGGAAATATAAGAAAACTCCATATGAAACCCAATTCTGCCTCTGTGATATGAGTGCCATTGAAACCACAGCTCATGTTCTTCTGTATTGCCAGTTCTACAGGGACATTCATCAATGTTGATTACCTGTTTTTTATTTAAATTCTAGGACTACGGTGCTTTTATCTGCACTGTTAAATAATAAAGATAAATTTATTTCTCTAAAAGTAGTTTGGTGTTTTTTTTTTACATTGTGTGTGAGCTTCACCCACAAACACAACTGGTCAGGGGAAACCTTTACTTTTATCAAAAATTTATTCTTCATTCTCAATTCAATTTGCATACCAGCAAGATGAAATATTCTTTCATTTGGATGTTACAGTTTATATCCCTTTCTACCTTGATGCAGAATGGAGATTGATTGGGAAAAATTAGATACTGTATCTGTAGCTTCTATGTATATTAAAATATGTGATCTGAAGATGGGGGGGAACATACATACATACATACATATTGGAGGGAAAGAGAGAGAGGGGGAGAGGGAAGGAGGGGGGGGAGAGAGAGAAAGATTGAGATTAAATTGATATTGTAAATGTACAATAAATGTTTCCTTCTGCTGCCGCCTGAATAAATGCATGCCTAAATATGGGGACATCACATCTGTCATTTAGTGAGAAAGCTTTGAAGCCATTTCTTGGCAAATCATGATTGTTGAAACTACTCATTTATGCCAAGCCTGGCACATGTTGTTTGCGAATGTGACTGGGTATTCAGGCAGCTTCTACAGCTGCTACTTGTGTGTCTCAGTGGGATAAATTTAGCTGTGTAATTTTTTAACGACTCTGTTAATGGGGGGTATTCTTCTGAAGTCTTATTTTGGCTCTTTGCCCACTCTGCATTATGTATCCACCTTAGGCTTTCCAGGTTCCATGGTCCTTCCTAGACTTTGGCCTAGCAGATAGATGTTCCCTTATGCCAGTGCTCAGTTTCACCTGCGTTACAACAGACAGCAGACGGGAGTTGCTCCAACTGAACATTCCTTCATATAGACACATCTCCAAACTTAAAAATAAAGCATTGAAGGAGTATAAAAGAGGTACCTTATCAACATTCAGTTGCCTGAGACAGAGTCATAAATCTGCCAAGCCTAGTGACTTAGTACCATGCCATTTTAGCACATGACACAAGAAATTTCACAAATACACTTTTCCCTCTTTGGCATGAGATAGATAGATAGATAGATAGATAGATAGATAGATAGATAGATAGATAGATAGATAGATAGATAGATAGATAGATAGAACCAATTAAATAATTTGTAGTATATTGCAATGTGTTTCATCATACACATGTTCAGCTATTTGCAGCAGATGGCACATACTCTCTTATAATCATATGTATCACTAGTTCTGTCACTGTTTTGCCAAAATTGTCTCCCCAAGAGAGAAACTCCTTCTCCAGCTGTTCTGAAGAGGGGGAGAGAGATATCTTCACAGATAGGCTACATTCTTTGCAACAAAGTGGAGAAACAGATTGGAGGTGTGTTTTATCTGATCTGTTGATCTTGCTTCTTTCTTCCACAGTCTTCTCAGCTCAAGGAGAAGAAATTCCTGCCAACACAGCACCACAGGAGGTCCTTCCCTCTTTAAAGACCTTCCTGTAATATCTTTTCCAAATGCTTTAACCCTCTTTTCCTTAGCCAAATCATTTTGTATTCCAATAGGAACATTTCTATTTTATCCATCCAACTCAAGATTTCCAGAACGATGCAGAAATAATGTGAATAATGGTGATAGTTATAATTTTAGTGATGTGATACTGATGAGATTTAATTGGAATTGTCATAACCAGCCTCCCTCCCTGAGAAACTAAAAAAGAAATTATCCTGCATTCATTTAGACCAAATCTTATATGCAAAGGTTTAATTAGAAGTATTTGCACACACAATTCTCTCTCGCTCTCTCTTTCCCTCTCCCTCTCTCCCCCACCCCCTCTCTTTTCCTACATCTTCACAAATGCACTATGAATAAGTACTCCCAAACTTCCCAGGTTGAGTTTCTTCGGTTGCTTTCTTTGTATGGCCAACTTGTGTCTCAAATACTCTAGGGAAATGTTGGGTAGAGGCAGTGATTTTGTAGGATCAATCCTATTCCAACTTTCCAGAGATTTGGATTTAATGCTATAGCAGTAAAGGATCTCTGACTTAATGTTCTTCCGTCATCTGTTCTCAATTGAGAAGGCAAAGGCAAAGCTGATATGAAAAGTGTTCTCTCAAACTGCATGTTTTGTCCCTCATAATGAAGTATCCTTATCAACTCATTCTTGATCATACTGTAGAGAAGGGTTGTGGACAAGATGAAGCATCGTGTCTCTATTCCCCCCCCCCAATTTTTAGCTCACTAACACCAGTTTAAGGTGTCCTATTCCAGTTGTCCCATTCTATATGTAGTCTTGGATATTTCCTTAAAATAATACAAAATAAAAATAATGTAATGTCAATTGCTGAAATCAAACTTTTTTGTGTCAGCAAATATCTTCTTATTTGACTTACATTCTAAATTTCTGTATTCTTAAAATTACAAATAGAAAAGATTTTTTTCCAAGAAAAGCAACACATTGGATTGTGCCCAAAATATAAAACACAACATATACAAAACAATATAAGTATTGCTGCTATTATCACTCATTAAGTCTAATTATAGATCATATAGTCAAATAGTCTGGATAAAACGTTTGCTTTTTTCACAAAGAATATTATTGTTAATTATAAACTGGATGTAATATTACCCATAATTAAGGTAACAACCAATACATTGTTTGTCTTCCTGCCCTTCTTACTCATATTTAAGCATTTTAGTCATCATATCAGATCATACTTAACCCTGGTTAAAATGATCCCCTGAAAATCTCAGAAACTTCTCCATTAGGTTACAAAATGGATATTCAAGGATATTATTGAATTCATTCTGATCTAGAAATAAGAGTCACTAATAATAACAAGCATGGCTGAAAGTTCACAAACCAACTGATGTCACAATTTATGTGTGATTATTATTATTTATTGCTACACCTATATGTTACCTGACTCCCAAAAATCCTGGTCAACTCACAATTAAACAAAACGAAGAAGTCACAGTAAAACCAATTAAAAGGAAGGGGGGAGATAAAAGATGATAAGAACGATGGACCAGATGGAATGAAACAAGATATCTTGCTGTCCTTCAACACCTCTGCTTCTTTAATATTGCTTTAAAAATATGAATCAGTGTGAATCTACAAAAAAATCAGTTGTTGACTCAGAATTGACATACAGATGTGCATTTTTGTAACAGATGTGGCGCAATTCAACAAAGCTAGCATGGTGTGCAGAATCAAGCCTCAGAGATCAATTGCAGAAGTCATTGGACTATAGGTTCCTAGATCTGCTAACTATGTAAGTTTTTCCACTTTCTTCACATTCCATAATAATGAAAATATTTTAATGATTATCCTCAATAAATATATAGTAATAGTTTTGAAGAAAGTCTACTTGAGCAGAAGTTCTCTACCTAGTGATAAAGCAAATTATTTTAGGAACTGAAAGTCTATCACAGTACTGTATTGTTTTCATTGAAAAGAACAGGAAATATTTGCACACCCAAGGCTTAGGACCAAACATGACATTAGCACAGTACTAATTACAGAAAGTCTATTCTGTTTTTCTCATGAGTGCCTCTAAAGTACTAACTGCAATGGAAATGGAGATGAGACTTTCTTCTTTGCAAGAGACTATGCAATCTTTATATTTTTGCAGGTCACATCTGAGGGAGGGAAGGAAAATCTCTCTGCCACAAGGCATAGAAAGAGCTTTAGAAGGACTTGTCCAATTTATGCTCCAGCAAAGTTATTTCAAAGAGTAGGAAAAAAGCTCTGTAGACAATAAAGGCTTAGATATCTAGCAATGTACATATGTGGAGAGTGAGTTCAGATAAGAATGCTATTAACAAACGTCACCATTGGAGCTGGAGTTTAGATGGGACTCATCACTTCAATTTAGTACTCTTTGATAGCTAAACATCTAAATAATGTAAAAAGACATGGCAGAACAGTTTTTTAAAAAAAAGAATAGCAATTCATTTTCTTCAGGGGCAGCATCCCCTCCTTCTTTCTAAATTTAAGCTGCAAAATGTAAGAAGAAAATGCAAAGCTTGTTAAATCAAGGAGGAAGAAATATCACAGAATAAAGATCAAGAGGATTACACATATAAAGAATGGAATGAATAGAAGTTAGTATAACCCAACGACATCCTCATTTCTTCTCTCCTTGTCTCATATATTCAATAATTATTCTAACCACACTGTTTAAAAAAACTCTGTATCATCTGTGTGACTGTACCTCATAAACCTGGAGAAAGAGCTAGTCTTCCTGCACTAGTTTAATTCCTCAATAAATCTTTCACACAATGGCTTCTTAAAAGGCAAAACTATGCTCAGAATAGTATACTGTAATCCTTGTATTGTTAAGACTAAAAAGAGGATGCAAGGGTCACTCTGATAGGCAGAACTAATGAACACATTATGGGTAGAAGGAAATCTACTAGGCTGAAGAACAATGAAGGGAAAAGTTGCACTTGAATACTTAGGAGAAGGAGAGAGGGTGAAGGAGGAAACCCTAGAAAGGGCAGTCTGCTGACAATAGCTGACAGTTTGCTAAAGTAGTTCTCAGACTGTTCAGACAATCCAATTATCATATGATTAGAACACACTTATCTACTGATGGGATTGTGACTATATGGAGACAATTCTTGAGTATGTAAGAAGCACCAGGCTTTTTAATGTATGCAGCCTCTAGGACTACTTAATTAATATAAAAGGACATATCCCACTGAAATATAGTTTTGCTGCAAAGCTGTTTTCTTTATTATTATTATTACTTCTCTGTCCTTCAACTTCCTAGTGCATTATTCTACTTCTCATGATTGCAGAAATGTGCCTGATGGTAGAGCAAAATGGTCCTAAAGGAGCCTCTTTCTACCAGCCAGCCATGAGCAAGGAAGTTCATACCAAGATGGGATGCAGGAGATGCCTTGTCTGCCTTTAACAGATTTGCCTCTTGTATTCCTTTGAAACGGAGGGGTGAGGAAGCAGTGGTGCTACCCCCCCAACCACAATGATAATAACCATTTTAAAGCTTGTGTATGAGGCTATTTAGCTAAGATACTTCAACTGGACGGATAAAGAAGGAGGAAGAAGAGGGAGAGGGAGAGGAGATGATGTTCTCTGGGAGGAGCTGGGTGGTGTAAAAAAGAGGATCTTGATCCTCTTTAACTAATGAAAGACTGAGGCAAATCTTCTGAACTTCTAAGATGCTTGTTCATTTGCTTTTTTAAAAAAAACAAAGGAAATAAGTCTTTGTAATTCCTTTTTCCCAGATACTCTCCTTGGGATCAGAATGTTCAACTGGGATGAAATGCTCCTCCCCCTACCATTTTACAAGTCAGATTTATTCCTTTTCTGTATAGTGGACAAATCAGCCAGTGTAAGGGGAAGGAGCAGAGCTTTGCTGGTTGCTGTTCTTTCTCTAAAGAGTGGAATGCAGCCATTTGGGAAATGTGAGGAAACCCTTTGCTGTGCACTGACATAACTGGGGAACAACATGAATAGGCTAAAACAGCTTAGAATGGCAAGTCCATCAACCCTATTACCTCCTGAATAGAGCATTGGAGGAACTAGAATTCAGCACAGGAAGGAACCCACAGGGAAGAAAGAAAGCCTGGAATCCTGCCCCAGGGTCCTGACTGAGAGGTGGTTTTCTTGCCATGTAGAGTCTAGCTGAAGAGGGAGGGCAGCAAAGCAAGAGGAATCATTTTATCTTTTGTGAATTGCACATGTATGATTAGGACTGTGCTATTTACAGCGAATCAGAATGGAGAGGCAGACCATAGGATGGGATTGGAAGAAGGACAGAAAACCTCATACGATGTATGTTCCTGTCAATCAAGGACAGGTAGCTAGCATCACAACCCTGGAATGGGGACAGGCCTTCAAGAGTAGTCATGTTGGATATAAAGCTATGCCCAACCATAAACTCAGGAGGAAAATATTCAGGGAGATTTGTAAAATGAATAATTTGCATATCTTCAGTCTAACTATAGTTTTCTGAATTATAAAAAGCAGAAATAGTTAATTTGCCAGGTGTCCACTATTTGAGCGGACAGTCCGCTTTTTTCACATTATGTTCACTATTTTTTTTCACAAAATAGTGGACATTTTTTTTATTCAAAAGCTTTATGATAAAATTAAAATGTAATTTAATATTTTACATATTATTATAATATATTTGATGTTTTGAATTTTAAGTAAAGTTTTGAAGTGATTATTTTAATACATGTTAAAATGTTTGTAAGAAAATATATAATTTAATTGTAAATTTTTTTTTATTTTTTTACTACTTAATAACCCCCCCCCCCCCCGCTTGTCCGCTATTTTTTGGAAGCAGACCTGGTAACCCTAAATATGGATGTTGAAATCTATGTCGTATCCTCATTCATTACACAATATTAAAACAATATTGTAGAGCATCATAAACAATACATCTGATTAAGTTTATTAAAAAATCATCTAAACAACAGCATGTGTTGTTTTCTATGTTCAAATAAGTATTTGTATTTCTTTCCATGATGGAGCCATTAAATACCCTATTTTCTTATTGTCTTTTTGACATGACATATAATGGATACTGTTCTTGTTTCTGATCTGTTTTACAACATATTTCTTGGACAGCCAAAAATATGTTATAAATAAATATACAAATATTCCACAAATTTGGCCTTTCTTATTAGTATGCCTTAAACAGGATACCATGCAGAATCTGACTCATAACTTTAAACTCCTCAAAAAGTTATATAGTTGGCTTAAATTTTGTAATTGCCCACTGAAAAGACTTAAAAACATTTAACATTGTGTGGCAATAACTGAATTATGGTGGAAGTGTATCTAGGCAACCTTAGCTAATATTGAGTAAGAACATTTAAACTTAGTTAATAAGTGGATAGTAAACCAGTAGGAGATCCAGAAGTATAGGCTAGACTGGGAAGGCAATGACAAACCTGTACTGTGTAATTTTTAAGAAAACAATGCGGATGTGCTAGTGTAGTTATCAGGAATGTAGTTACTACATTTGATTAGTTCAATGACATTTCCAACAAAAACTTTACATAGCATAGCAAAGCACAGAGTCCTAGTTTTGTCCCAAATAATTCTTAATGCATCCTTTTGGCCATTATTCATTATCATACTTAGCCTACTTCAGTCCTAGTTAACTGGATGGAGTCATCTATATAGGCCTAAATGCTCAGACTTCCCCTACAAATGGCTTAAGGCACCCCAGCTGAAGGTGAATGTGTGTGCATACATACAGTATGTGTTTATGGTATGTGTGTATGGTTTGTATGTATTTATATATCTATATGCCAAGCTATGCACACACATACATTCAACACACTATAATTCAAATTGGCATATATTTTTTTTTCAAATAATAATTTGGTGAAGAGTTTACTAAATATAAACAGCCACTCACTGACATCAAACTTTTCATTTAAGAAAAATATGTCTTCTCATAAATGATCAGCCGGTTTATTTTTGAGAGCAACCTAGAGTGCATATTAGTAAGAAAGAAAGTTATATGTAGTGATAGTTGGAAACCTTTATTTTCTATAAATGGAGGTGAATAGAATATATGAATATTCTAAGACTAGGAAAATGGCCAGTATCATTAACATCCTCGCTGGCTCTTTGGCTAAGATCAAATGTAGTTCTTGATCCCTCAGGCAAACATAACTGGCTTAATTAAAATCAATTATAGTAGATCTCCATAGTCCATTCCAACTCTGTTATTTTGTTATTCTGTTAATTACTGGATCATGAAGATTAAAGGTTTTTTATAAATATTTTTCCCATTCCCATTTTGTTATTACATTTCCAGGAGAGACACTCATAAAATCTGGCTCTTGTCAAAAGGACAAAACAAAAGTAATGATGTTTTAACATAAGGTACAACACTTAAATACTTGTGTGCAACATTACAAAACATGTACAAAAGGATCAGAACATGGATTGTGACAGCATAATACCCCTCTTGTCCCCTCTTGTCCCCCTCAGAAGTTTCTGATTTCCAGTGGTATCCTGGCTTTCAATTTTGTTGTAAATTGACTCTCAAAACAGTACCATTGTGTCAGCCTGAGGGTTTTATTTCTTAAGCTCTGTATTTGTGTGTGGTGAAGCTGAGCTTAAATTTCTACCTTTTCACCCAGTAGTATCCCTACATTGTTTAAATGAGATACCTTTTCTTCTGCTGCTGTTGACAGTTCCTATCATAACAATCATCTCTGGGATATCTCAGAATTTTACAGAGTGAGATAATCATATATTAAGACAGATTCTGGACAGTTG